TGTCAGTCTCACATAAGGCTGCTTATTTGGGTAAACTAAGATAATGAAAGGCTTAAACCAGCAATGCTAAGGACATGAGAAACCCGGACATTGATACACTGTGTGCCTGCAACCCCTGCTTAAGGGTCTTCTCACTCCTTTGTTATTTTTTTATTTGTTAGACATTTAGTATTAGGTATTCACTATGTCTTTCCCCTTACTCTATTTCATATCTGCCATATTTCATCAGTTGTAAGCCATCATATTGGTATATGCCAGCAGACAGTCAAGATGTAGTCTTTACACCTGTGAATCTTGTTATTTTCTTCTGGGAAGCTGTTTGATATATAAATTATCAAATTATTTAAAAGTCATTTAAGGAAAGAATATGTGGACGGGTTGCCATCTGGAAATCCCTCTTTTCCAACAAAGAGAAAAATATGTAATTTCAAATTGTGGAAGAGATGTTATGGCTCAGAGGAGAACCCTGGAAAGAATAACTCAAAGGAACCTTGTTAAAAAAAATGTCACATTACCAGTGCTCTAAATAACACTGAAGTCAGATGGTGTGGGAACAGGCATGGACATCAGACATCAACAGCTCTGAGTTAAAGAGTGGTTCTGAGAAGTCAAGTTCTAAACAGAAAGACATTTTTGGAAAGGCTTTACCATTGTATTTCTCTTTTATTTCTTTTTCTGTGCTTTCAAAAGACCTTCATATGTAAGACTAAAAGAACTTTTGTAGTAAATATAAAACAAAGCTTTCTGCTATATGACACACATAACACAATACACATTGTGTTTTCTTATTTGTGCATAAAGTATTGATGTCTCTTCCAATTCCTGATGTCATAGATTCAGTGAGATGTGATATTATTTGCATCCATAATGTAATAAATGAGGAAATGTAGCAGGCAAGAACTTGATTATTCATATTGTCCAAGTTATTGTTAGTTGCACATCAAGGATTAGAATTTATGAGATCTTAATTCTTGACTATCTCACTTGAACATTAGCTAGTGCCATGCTTCAGAAAGCTTGATTGTTAAGTAACCAAATGATGGACTTGGTGGCCAACTAGAACTAGTGTGCCTTAAAAACAGCCTCTCCATGCCAAACCAATGGGACTGTTCTGTGTGAGTGAATGTCTTATAGACAAGGGATGTGCTTTCACTCTCAACATAGGTTTGGAAGGAACAGTGTACATTCTCATGTGTGGCACTGATTTTTTGTTTTTTTGCTATGACCTGTCTTTTTTGTTTTCCGGTACCAGGATCAAACTCAGAACCTTGGGCTTGCCAGGCAGGCAAGGCTCCACTGAGCTACAACCCCAGCCCCCATGACCTGTCATTTTATGGAAATGTCCAACCTTCCTTGCCTCCTTCTTCCTTTTCATCTTTCATCCTCACACCAAAGGGATCTTTTTATGTTAACTTTTATAGTGAATAGTCATGACACAAAGAATCTATTAGGCTGTACCTTATAAAAGTTGACAATATCTTGTCATTCTTTGACCTACAGAATCAGTAAGTTTGTGTGGTTCAACTTAATACGTGGCATGTGCAAGATTCACATAAAACACTTCTCAGTCAGAGATCAGAAGACAGCCCTTCACTCATCGTTCTCAAGAGTCTTCCACATACAGTAACGCTTCCATTTGCACTTCTGCCCATCTCTATAGGAGTCTCTGAATAACACTTTTTTGTAGATGAATCCCTTGTGAAGACCTTCATTTGATCAGCTGTGTGTACAATATTGTCTTTGTTAACTCAATAAACATTTATCTCGTGCTTCAGTGTGGGCTAGGCACTGTTCTCATCCTCAGTGACAAAAGTTAGTAAATCACAGTCCCTACTCTTACCAGAATGCAGTCTAGGAAGGGAGACAAGCATGGATAGCAGTGCAAAATAGCAAGTAACATAATACATATAAATAAAATACTGAAAAGCCAACTACCCTGCCCAACAGAGCAAGAAGACCTCAAGGAGATGATGTTTGTGCTGAGCCTTAAAGGATGATCAATTTACTTGTCAGAAAAGAGGAGTGATACAACATCACCTAGCAGAATGGCTTGTTCACAGAAGCGCAACAAAGAAAAATTCAAAACTTTAGTTTGAATGTAAATAGGACTGTGGCAAAGATGAGAATAGTGCCAGATAGGAGATTTTAATGTAAGATCTCCTTTACAAAGAACTCTGTAGGTGAAGCTTAGGAATTTACAGTTTGTTCTGCAGATGAAGAGAAATTGCAAAACATATGCACATGGGTTTAAATTACTTAGTACTAAAACCACTTTTTCTGCCTTGAATTTATAATCCAATCCAGTCATCATCTAAGTTTATAGAACTATTACATGATCCACTTTAGAGCAGGCAAGAGCTCTTTCTGACCAGCCCTGCCAAACACATGAGCCAAAGCAACCTGGATTTCCAAGGGGTTGGTTCAACCCTGATGGCTCTCTTAAACACAGTCATTGAGATGTGGTTCCTCACTGTGGCTGGAAGTGTAGCCAAAGGCTGTGTTACTGTGAGAGACTGTGGCTTTGATGATTATGTGCTCCTCCACTGCGGGGCTCTTAACTTCACATGGCTGAAGGAGCTTGCCAGCGCACACTCCATGTTTTCATATTTTCCTCATTGGGTAATCACACAATGGGTGATTCCCCCTAAATGCAGTGAGATTGATTTCATCCAAACTGCCTACTGGCTCATCAGTGGCCCAGTTTTCCAGCCATGTGATCTGGCATCTGCCATTTACTACTCATCAAATTAAATTACATAGCACCAATAAATTACCAGCTCATGACTGTGCAGAATTTTCCCCTTAAGTTCCCCTGCTTAATATTTGTGTGTTTAGTAGTGCCATAGTTTATCTGCACTGGGATGTCGACTGGTATGTATCAAATCTTTCGCGCAAGTGGAGATATGTATGTGTGTGTGTGTGCATATTCTACAAAGGCACACATATGTATTTATATATGTGAATATATATCAATGACTTATCCCATATATGTGAATTTTCTAGATCCATAAAGCTAAGTGGCTATTAAAAAATTGTAGTTGGGCCAGGGATTTAGCTCAATGGCACCGTGCCTGCCTTGCAAGCACAAGGTCCTGAGTTTGATCGCCAGTAACAAACAAACAAAAAAAAATTTTTTTTCTTTTAAATATTATACACAGATAAATATATATGTATGAGTGTATGAAGGAGTTATTCCATTTGTGTGAATTTTCCAGATGCCTAAAGCTAAGTGACCAGTTACACATTTTGTTCTATTTTACTTAAATCGAATCTTTATGGAAATGTTTCTAAACATGTTGGAAGTGTGATTTTCTGAAGTCAGCCTACTCTGTTTGAATCTCCCTTTCTTCATCTACTAGCTTTCTGGCTTTGAGCAGGTTAACAACTTTCCGAATCTCAACTTTCTCTTCTATACAAAAAGAATAGTAACCACCTCATAGGATTACCATGTGAATTAAAAGAGTTGTGCACATAAAACATTTGATATGCAGTGAACATTCAAAAACTGTTATCACTGTATACTTTATGCATATTAGAATTGATTTTTGAAAACTGAGGCCATCATTGTAAACATTAATGATGCAAGACAACTAATAGCCGACTCTCTTGGGGCCTATTAAGAGCCAGAAAGTTACTTACCCCTTCAGTAAAAGTCCCCAGAATGCCAGGTTGCTTCCTAGTTCTTAATGTACCATCCTTTGCTTTCAGACCGTGCCCTGACATGTTCTGAAGTCACCATTATCCAGAGGCCTAGAAGTTTTCTTCCTTCCTCGCACTTCATTGTCATATCAAATAATCCACCTTGTTAAAATTACAAAAGCAGATTTTAAAATCTTTAGTGGAATCCCTAAGTCTGCACTCTGGGGTCTGTACTATGTGCTGTCTCCCTCAGCCATCCAAAGATCCTAACTGCTGATTTCAAGACCACTTGCTGTGTGGTGGATGATGTCGCTATAAAGTGACCACCAGAAAAGTGGTCACACACACGCATGCACATAGTGACCTGCCCCACAGTTTCCTAAGCACACTTTGCTTCCTCTGGCCCACAGACTGAGCGTTCACACAGTCTGCTTAGAATGACCCTGCCCTGTTTCCTTCACTGGCCAGTTCTTATTCCCTCATCAGACTCCCTTAGTCTCCTATGTGAGTTGATTGCAATGAGTTAAATTATTCATGAAATGAAGTCAGCAAAAGAAACCCATTCTGGCATATAGGAGATGCTCAGTAAATAATAGAATGGAGCCACTCTTTGCTTTTAAGGGAGGCAGCCTCAGTTGCAGGAGTATCTTCTGTAGGACAGGGCTGTGATATTTTAAAATTCTGCTGTTCCAGGGCCCCGCACAAGGCCTGTCTCAAAACAGAGCTTAGGAAATATGTGAAGTTAGAAAAGAAGGGGAGAGGAGAGGAGGGGAGGAAGAAAGTGTGCCTTCATTCTTTGCCTGCTGTAACAAAATACCACAGACTAGGTGGCTTATAAATAAAAGAAACTTCTTTTTTACAGTTCTGGAGGCTGAAAAGTCCAAGACCAAGACTCTGGCAAGGTTTTCGGGAGGGCCTGCTTTCTCTTCACCTTCTGGCTGTGCCCTCATGTGGTAAAAGAAGCCAATGAATTCCTCTGGGCCTATTTTATAAGGCACTAATCCCTCATGACCTAATCACATCCCCAAATGCCCCTCCTCCTAATATCATCACCCTGGGGGCTAGGTAGGATTTCAACATAGGAATGGCGGGAGGGAATATTTGGACCATAGTGCCTACTAATTTTGAATTCCACACACTTCTGATTATCTTATCTAAGAAAGAAAAATTTAAACATTTACTAATACAGATGTAAACATGTAGGCTAGAGGAAGAATTTAGGGAAATTTTTTATTTGTTTGTTGTTTTCTGATGCTCCTTTTGACTTCTCCAGGTAGACAAGTCTTCTCCAGATGTTGCCACTACAGCATAGTAGACACCAAATGACAGTTGTAATATTTTTTTTTTTTTTGCTTTTTCAGGTTACAAGTGGTCCTGCCAAATGCCCTGGCCAGATGACTCTTCATCTCAAACCTTTTCTTATGTGCGGAGGGGATGGATTTACTCAGTCCAACTTTGATGGCTGCATCACTTCTGCCCTATGTCTTCTGGAAGCTTTAAAGAATCATATTTAGTATCTGGGTTCTTGTTCTCAACATTTAGTTTTGGTTTTTGTTTCACAATTTTCTATTATTGATTATTTTGATTATTATTATGTTGAGAGAAATTACTGGAAAATTGTTCTTCACTTGTCATTTTCCATGTGGAGTATGAAATCAATCTTATAACTTTGATAGTTGTAACCCATATTAGAATGAAAATGCCTTATATCTTATACCTTTTCCCATTTTTCTGAATTGTCAATCTTTGTTGAAGAAAAAGAGTAGTGCTTAAGAATTTGATATTTTTAGTCACACAGTACTTTCTAAGCTTAAAACAGGTTCCAGTCTTAATATGAAAGATAAAACTTAAATACAAACTGAGAGACAAATATATCCATCTTTAACTTGTGTTATCTCCTATAGCTAGTGCTCTTACCTTTACATGCTCTCAAGTATGTTCTTCAAGTTTAACGAATTTTTTGCATCCAACCAAAAACTTACTGAACCAGAAAATAGATGCACTTAAAATAGTTCAGTATTTACCAACTTAGTGGTTCAGCATATCACCCATATGTATTAGTGACTTGATCTCATGACTTGCAGGCTAGGGAGAAATTGATCACCAACCTTTTAAAGCAAGCTGCCTGTTGCTAATTTGAAAAGCAAAGTGGTGAGTTCTCTTTTATCATTTCAAAAGGAAAGAAACTGGCTCAACCTCCCAAACTAAAAAGAGTTCAACAAAATACTCCTTACTTTGGTAGTGGTTAAAGATTCACACATACATGCCCATTGTCATACATACACATAAATGCACAAACAAAACTTGCTTATGGAGCTATAAAGGGAGTTTTATGATCTTACAGCATTTTATTATGTTTCCTTTTAGTAAAAAAAAAACTGGTATAAAAATCTAAAATGCCTGCATGTGGTTAATGTCACCTATTTTGAAATCAGAGAAATGAAAAAAATACAAACATCTAAAATGCCTGCGTGTGGTTAATGTCACCTATTTTAAAAGCAGAGAAATGAAAAAATATACAATCTCTAGTCTGAAATAATGAAAAGTGTGGGGTTTTTCATCATTGTAGCCTATTTTTGATTAACATTTGTCTTTACTTTGATTTTACCCTTAAAATATGGTAGGGAAGTTATTCAAACTTATTTACTATTTTGTTTTTAGGAAATATAATTCCAGAGCCATTTGAATGAAAGTGTCCCAAACCTTTAAGAGCACTGCTATATTTATTTCATGAATGTATATGCTTCCAAAAGAGAAAAAAAAAGAGATTTATAAAGAGGGAAGTGGGTTATTTACAAAAAAAGTATTCCTTTAAGGCAATATTAATAACTTTAATATTTATTCATTCTAAGTATGTTGCCTTACTAATGCTGCATGTTTCAGTAAGACTACAACAATATGAGAACAGCTTAACACTCCTAAATACATATAATCATTGTCATTTTTCTATTTTAATTATTCTGCAAACTCTATATTTAGATTTTCATTTGCATCTTCTAATTTTAGAAATGAAAAAGAAACAAGAATAGGTCTCCTGCTAGCCAGAGGGCTATGAAAGTCAGTTGGCAGGATGCTCTAAAAGACTGCAGGGCAAAGGTATCGGCACCCCAGGAAGATGGGGTCAGTACAGCTTGGAACAGTTGCTGAGGTGTGTGTATTTCTACTCCACAAGACCACACATCATCACCATATAGCCAATAGGAACTTTTATTAATCAAGCCAGGCAAGGAAAGCTGCTCTGTTTTGAAAGGAGCATATTCAAGTGAGAAACAGCTTGAGCAGCAGGGTGATTTAATACTTGTTAGCTGATAAATACAGCCTTTGCCAGAATAAAACTTTATGATGCAGTGTTGAAAAGCTTAATTACTAAACTGTCTATGCACATCTTGCTCAGGCAGAAAGGGAGACAAATTATAGCAGTAGAATAGTATTTTTCACCTTTGTCATTTCTGAAGGGGAAAAGTATGCCTAAAAACATTCAAAAAGCAGTAATAATCCTAGACCACATATTACTGAGGGGAAAAAAAGACATTTCATTTGAGTCACCAAGCCTTCTGCTCAAAATGCCATCATCCCCACCCCCCACCCCCATCTACCCACTACATTGTTAAGTGAAGAGGAGAAGGTCAATTTTACATTTATCTGGCATTTTATACTTATCCAAGCATGTGAAGATATATATATATTTATATATATATTTATATATATTTGTATATATTTTTATATATTTATATATTTATATATATTTATATATTTATATATTTATATATTTATATATATATTTATATATATTTTTATATATATATATGTTTCCCACTTTTTCTCCTCCCAACATCCATGGAATAAGTAGAACAGAGAATTATTATTCATATTTAACAAATGAAGAAACTGAGCCCCAGAAGTTGGCCACTCAAGGTCATATAATGATATGTATGCCAGAACAAGCACCTAGGCTTCCCGTGACCCATTTCTGTTTACTGGCACCATGCTTCTGCCAGATGAATATGATAATTGAAACTGAGCTGAAATATTAGTTGGGGATACAGTCAGCACCATATGGTCCTCTTATTGATGTTTCATTTCACAGAGCTAACACTAATCCTGATGTAATATATATAATATATATATTATATATATATAGCTCTAATATGGAATGAAGTCTCCATAAGTACTGGCTAAGTGATTTATACTCCTGTTATTTCCTTCTTTGGGGGGCACGTGCTGTGAGAATTAGATGCACCCTAATGACACTGAATTTCAACACAGCAGTAATTATTTAGCCTGCAGACTCACTCTGCTTTGTCCTTTTGTCTGTAGTATTCCTCTTTGTCTCTTTGTTTCCTTTGTTTCATTCTCTACTTCTCTTCCAGTTTCTGCCATTTCTTCATCTCCATCTCCTTTTGTTTTTCCTGTTCTTCCCTTGTGCTCAGTTCTCCATTCTGAGATAAACCTGGAATATAAATGTACTATGATTCATAGTACTTGTACTTCCTTGTTTTAATATATCAGGGTTTTGTTATCATTGTTCATAAAATTTAAACCACTTGGTCTTGTTTGTTATTCAAGTTAATTGTACAGCCTTTGTTTCAATTTTCAAAAGTCATGTAAGAATTTAAAACTGGCTGTAACTTTCAGGAATCTCAGGGCTAATAACTTAAAATAATGCCTTCTATCATTTCTTTTCTCTAGTTCTTTACTCTTCCTGTCACATATGTACAAAGTGTAGTACCAGGCTCTGCGGGGGACACAATGGAACATAATCAGTATACCTCACCCCAAAACACTCCCTCAGAAAGATAAGACCCAAGGAATGGGAAGCAGGGTAAAGGCACATTGCATTAATTAGCTTTCTATTACTATAGCAAAATATCTGAAGCTGGGTACTTCATAAAGAAGAAGTTTATTTCACAGTTCTGGAAGTTTGACAGCAGTCTGTCTCTTGTGAAGGCCTCATGACATTGTAGCATCACAAATGATGAGCAAAAGAGAGGGACAGAGGAGAGAGAGAGGGAGAGAGAGAGAGAGAGAGAGAGAGAGAGGAAGACCACATAGGACGACAAGAACCCAGAGTATACCAGGAGGGACCAGTAACAACCGTCCACTAAGCCCCACCTCTTAAAAGTCTGACTGTGTATTAACATCAACAAACCGAGGATAATAATCCTTGAGGGACACACTCAATCCATATCCAGACCAATGTCCCTCCTCTTCACTCCATACCTGCTCAGACTTTGCTGACTCCAGGACTCTAAACTGCATATGAGAGTGGTCAGGATAAGTGAGCTTCTTTTGTGAAGAAGGCTCAGTAGAATACACAAAAAATGGTGTCTGGCAGGAGAAAAAACCCTCAGCAAACCACATACTGTATGGAGGACTGAGCTGTTATATTGCAGCATGGAATGTATTTGTTTACCTTGTATAATCTCATCAGGTAAACAAGAGGTTGAAATGGTAATGTGACCCATGTTTCTTCCTCAATATACAGTAATTATTGTCCTCCTAAGAGTTCACAGCAGAGTGCATCAGAAGAGTCTGCAAAGGAGAAAGAATCTCTAAGAGATTGATAATTAAAAAGGCACACACACACACACAAAAATACCATGAAATCTTGGAATGTGTAAGCCCAGAGTCATTTAGACCAATCGTTCTTAACCCTCTTGGATTTTGAACTTATTTGGGAAACTATAGAAAGCTGTAACTAATAAATACATACATATATACATACATACATAAATTAATAAAACTAATCAATAAAAGTATAACTAAAAGCTAATAACAACAAAACAATTGTACATATTTGTACATAGGATTTGTCTACTGTTTAGAACCTGTGACCTGGCTGCATGATTTTGCAAATAAAGTTTTATTGGGATGCATCTTCACTTAGTAATTTCTGTATTGTCTTGTGACTTTTTCACTACAGAGCTAGAGACAAGTGTTAGAAAATGCCTTAAAGTCTACAAAGTCTAAAATAGTTACTATATAGTCTTTTTTTTAAATTTTTTTGCTACCAGAGATCAAACTCGGGACCTTGAGCTTGCGAGGCAGGTGGCAGAGCCACTAAACTAAATCCCCAACCCACTATATAGTCTTCTGAGATAAATTTTACTAAATCCTGTTTTAGTGGATTAAAAACCTCTCCCCATCTATCTGTGGACCCTCAGGGGCCCGGGGACCCCAGATTAAGAACCTCTATATCTCAATCCTAACACTTTATGTAAACCCAGGTTTATCTGAGATCCACACACATGTGATTCGTTGTCCTTTGACCCTATGCCTGACTGACTTTCAGTTAAGTATAACATCCTCTGGAGTTGAATAGATCTATTTTTAATGACTACGGAAATTTTGTTCCTTGGTGTGTGACCTTCAGATAGTAAAGTATTTCACTTGGTCTCCTTTTTCATATGAAGGATGAGTTAATGGTAGATCCTCCATGAGATTGTTATGAAACTTTAAATTACCTAAAAATTGTATTAGGAGAGTGCTAGACAGATACTAAGTTTTTATAAATGATAGCAACAGATAAAGGGAAGAGGTAGGAACAAGGAGGAAGGACTTAAGCAGATTCTCCTGGAATCTCTCAAGCCTCTGTACAGGCCAGTTTCCTAGGCATTTACCAAAGACACCAAAGAGCTGATTACAAGGAGAATTTCTGCACTGATAACAAAGTACGGTGGAACAAATTTAAAAGCCCTTTGGCAGGTTGCTTCAAAGCTTCATGAGACAAAATTCTAAAGTCTACCTGAGATCAGCTAGGGCCTCTTTCTCTTTTTCTGTTACAGTTTGTAAGTAGGCAAACTGCTTGGGGAAAAGTTAGTTTGCTCACATGTGATCCTTGGAAAGAAACTAGGAAAGGTCATTACCAGGAGTAGAGATGGTGTAAAATAGAATCATTCTCTACAACAAATGATCTTTTTCCTTAGCAATTGCAGGTTCTGAATGTAAAGAATTCCATGCTTGGATTGGATTCTGCTAAAGACTACTTAATCTGTGAAATGCTGAAAAGTAGTGAGAGTAGTAGTGAGAGTTAGTTCACATTCTTATCATATTTGGCAAAGTATGCATATTCATTTCCTGTCCCTGGCTTTTATTTTAAAAAGCTCAATTCCTGGTGGATTTCATGACTGAATCCAATACTTACTAGATGTGTGATCTTGGACTAATTTCTTATGTCTTCTTTCCTCTATAAAATGTGGATACTAATTTTACCTACTTTAGAATTTTCTGAAGATGATAGTACATACATATATTCAGCGTTCTACTCTACATACTGAAAATCTTCAACAAATACTAATTGGTATGGTTATTATTTAGTAGTAAAGTGTTATGTAAGAAAATAATCTGTCATGACTATAACTGCATGCATACATAGCTTTAGACTCAGCTAAGAAGGCAGTTGAGTATTTGTAGGACTCACTGACAACAGTATACAAATTTCACTGTAAGATTGGCTTCAGAGCCATTTTTCTTCAGAAATTCTTTTTGATTTTTGAATGAATAAATGGTATCATTTGTTGCTATGCTCCTTAGTAGACCTTGCAAGGCATCCTGTTATCCCACAGTAAATCTAGTCTCCTACTCTTGTAATACTCATCACTTCTATACTTACTTGTTCAAGATTTACTTGCCACCCAAACTGCAAGATCCACAAAAGCAGGGCCTGGCACATGGGAGGCACTCAGTAAATATCTGTTGATCAAATGAATGAATGAATTCAATTGATTAACATTTTTCATTCCAATGTCAACAAATAACAGAAGAAAGCATCACTGATGCAGAATTATCCCATAAAACAAAAATGTAACAAGCTGATCCACAAAAGAGATAATAATTACATTGGCTACCTTACATGGTTTCTGTCCAAAGTCATTAGATGATCTCAGAAAGCTCTTACTTTATGCTGCTTCCCATGGATAGAAGGTGGAGAGCTGCTCTACCATTTGAAATAACCTAATAAACACATGGACTTCATGTCTTTCCATGTTGCCTGCTATTTAAAATTTTCTGCGAAGGAAGCCAGAAATTGGAGCAGAGAAATGCACCTGAGTACAAAAACCTACTGAGTCTGTGTTATGGTGCCCTGCTTGAGAAGCTAGAGTTAAATATATTGAAGTTTATGAAAATTATGAATAGTTGTGTTACCTAGAGAAGACGATTAAGTTCATTTTGACTTAAATAATTATTAACTAGAAATCTTTCCTTACATGAATTATTGGATTACTATGTTTTCAGAATGTTTGGTTTGCTTTCTTCTTCGTTTTTATTTTTAGTGACTATGGTAGTGACTGCATAATATCATCAAATGGATTTTGCAAAGCTCTGGAGTCAAGATTTTGTTAGAATGTGATAAGCTCCATGGGAACAAGATTTTTTGTCTTTTTTCTTCACCTTAGAATCTCCAGTGTCCAGAGAAGTCCCTGGTACATGTTAAATGAATAATTCAAAAACATTCAAACCACCAGCCATTAGGAAACTCTGCAATATTATATAGTTAAATGATGCAGCAAAAGAAATGGAAAACAATTTATAAAATCTGACATGTTATGAGTAAATAAAAATTGAGTCTCACTTATGAATATATAAGTTCCACAAAGATAAACATGTTTTTTCCAAAGGTATGTCCCCAAAACCTAGCACATGACATATTAGGCTCTTAACTGAAGTTTTGCTGTATGATTAAATGATTGAGATAATGGAAAATCTAAGTGAAAATGAGCACCTAAAACTCAAGAGAAACTATGCTAGAGACAGAACACTCAAAACAGGGGATCTCTGTGTATTTGGTATGTTCGTGTATGCACGTTGTGTGTGTCAGAGTGGTGAGAGGAGAGGCAAATGATGCACTTGTTAGGCAAACTTTAATCAGCATAGCTTCTACGGCAGTATATTCTCTTATTAGAGTTTACCACTTACCAGAAATATGCAATCAAGGCTTATTGGCTAATACTCTTATTTTCCTTTAATAAAATTGTTCTAAAAGTGGCAAGAGTTAGGCCCAAACTAACTTCCACAAGACAGTTGCCAACCTCAAATTTGAACTATATATTTTAATTATTACAGTAAAACATGTTCACTTACCCTTTGGAAAAAATAACTAGACTATTTACTATAAACCAAAAGATTGTCAGAAAATAGATTGTTAATGAATGAACTGCACAGGGTAAAAAAGGAAATGTCACTCACATGAGAAAAGTTTACTATCCAGGCTGGACAGTACCCTAACAAATTAGCTTTATATTGTAGGAAAAAGCTAAAAGAACAAGTATTAATACTTGAAATAATGAAGCCTTTTAACTATTTCTATAACTGAAAAATTATGTGACAAAATTTAATATATGTTATTTGTAATGCCTTATAAACTCAGAAAGGGGGAATTACCTTAGAAAGGTAAATATTATGAAATTGTAACAAATATTACAACTTAGAATGACTCAGTACAACCTTCTGTATTAAACTAGGAGAATTCAAAGACTTCATCAATATTCTAAAATTTCTACTTTAAACATTAAGGCATGGAAAATTCTTAAGAGGTGTGAAAGTTGGGGAACAGAAGGCAAAATGGTGTCTAATTGCTGTCAATAAGATTATATGCAGAGGGCCGGGGATTTAGCTCAGTGGTTTCTCCACCTGCTGAGCAAGTGCAAGGACCTGAGTTCTATCCCCGATACCAAAAAAACAGCAACAACAAACAAACAAACAAAAAAGATTATATGCAGAAAACTTAAGTAAACTTTTAGATTGAGATATGAGTAGAGAGGCTAAATTATAAATATTCAAAGATAACTTTTCTACAGAGTCCACCAAAAAATGTATACACACTTCAGGAAAAATAAATAAATAAATGTCTGGAAACTAATGACCACTACTTTGATCACCTCTTATAATTGCAGAGGCCAAAAGTAACTTGTATTAATCTCATGATGTCTCAGTAAATTTAGTACTAAAATTTATACAAGTTTTCCTGAAGAGTATGCACATTGTTTTGGTAGACACTGTATATACCATAAGCAAGTATATCTAGTATACAATGTCACTATTTGAAAACATAGGACACAAAAGAATATCCCTGGGAAGATACATCAAAAATTTATACATGGAAAAAATTTCAGAATTATACTACATGATATTTTTAAAGATTTACATAGATGGAAATATAAGCATTTCCCTAGAGGGGAATAGTGAATATTATGAATTTTTTTATTATCTGATAAGTAATTTACAGGTTACACACAATTATAGAGGGATTTTTTAAATTGAAAAAAATTTAATGTCAATGTAGGAAAAATTAATGTAAAAATAACTAACAACTTCTGAGCAATAAGATAACAAGTTTGGAACTTTTATTCATAATACAGATACAAAATTGGATAAATTGGTTTACAATTGGTTCAAGAAATGAAAATTATAGCTATAAGATAGAACTTAATGTGATAAAGGAAGCAGTACAAAACCAATAACAATTCTCTAAGAAAAGATTTGAGCAAAATTGACTATTTGTTAATTTTAAAAAACAACTGTAATTCTAGTCTTACCATACATTACGTGCACTTAAAAAGGTGAAAAGGCATTAAAATCCAGCAAGAAAAAAGTGAGGCCCCTCTTTCAAGCACAGAAATAGATTTAGTCTTTCTTTCCCTCGTAACATCTTGTTTAATAAAAATTGCCAAAAACACGGGAAAAATAGACACACAAATACATACGAACATGTTTTGTCATAGTAATGAAAATGCATACATGTGTATGTATATGTGTGTTTATAAATTTAAATTATGTTTACCTCATAATCAAACAAAAACATGCACATTAACAACCCCAATGAAATGCAATTTGTAACCTATAAAATTATAATTTTTTAAAAAAGAAAATTCTAAAAAGATACAAAATTGCTGGTAAAATAAAAGTTTTCACAATCCCTTTATATAGTAGGTTGGCTATATGCATTAAATGTGCTTTTTTGGCAATGTTTTTAAACTCAATAACTTTACATGCAGCAATCTGACTTAAGGAAATAATCAAGAATCCAAACAATGATTTATTTGCAATGTTTATTTAAGCAATAGTTATAATAGTGAAAAACTGATACCAACCTAGATAAATACTAATAGGCTGAATAAATTCTATCAGATTAAAACAGTGGAATTTAATGCTGCCTTTTAAAAATGTCTTCTCAAAGCATATTTATCTTCCTGTGATATTTCTTGTATGATTATAGTATTAAAAGAAAACTCCCAATACAGTATGCTTTTCAATCTTTGAGGAGTAAATTACATGTAATGGGTATATATATATATATATATATATATATATATATATATAGAGAGAGAGAGAGAGAGAGAGAGAGAGAGACAGACAGACAAAAGGAAAATATACTAAAAATAAAGCCCTTAAATTGATGGGATTTTGAGTGACTTTTATTGTCTTCTTTACACCTGCTCTGTATTTCTGCTGTGAACAGTAAGTTGGCTTTGTTTTGTGATGTCCAAGAAGGTAGAACCAAGACCAGTAGTGGTAATGAAGCTACAGAAGGTAATATTAAGAAGAAAATTCTAACTTGCAGAACTTTCCAAAGTGGAGCACACTTCTGGGGCTTCTATATGCCATCATGGGAAGTGTTCCAGCAGAGGCCAAAGGATCACTATCCAGACTACCACAGAATCACCTGAAGGAAGGAGAGCATGTAGATTCCTGGGCCTCAAGACCCATCTATTTGCATTTAAGCTCCAAAGCTGAGGTCTGAGGATCTGAACTCATTTTAAAAATCTCATATGAAAAAAAATTAAAGTTAAAAAAATTAAATTTTCTGAAGAGTTCAGAATCATGAGACAAAATTTCTGTTTGGGAGAAACCCCACATTAGAAGGCTTAATGGCTGCTGTTACAGTGATAACTCAAAGCAAGCGAGTCTGCAATTCAAAGGTCTAGAGATTGTCTGACTATTTGCCTTTTAAAACCAAAGTCAGCAATATAGATGCAAAGAGAGACTTCACTGGGATTGATAATAGAATTACTTGAAGATCAGGACTGCCCACTCTTTACTAATTTGGGCATTTAGCCACTGTTCTAAGGTCCCACCACCACCATTTTGTAATCTGCACAGGAGAGAATGTTCTTATTCTTAGAAGAGTTACTGGGGATTTTGTTTACAACTAGTTCTCAAATGATTCAGAATAAAAGCAATTAGAATAGAGGTGAGCAAATAGATGGATAGATAAACAAATTAGCAAGAGAGAAAATGTAAATGTAGCTAAACTAGAAACTGGAGGAAAAAATAAATGGGAACTTTGTCCCATTTATGCATCTTTTCTGTAAACTTGAAATTATACAATAGCTATCTCCCCAAAAAAGAAACTAAAAGACACACCAAAACCAATTATAATCATTAAGCTATCTGAATTTAAATGGTCAGAGGTGCTTTTTCGTGGAGTCATTGACTCAACTAATGAATGATCAGAGGCCTATTCTGTACCAGGTTCTCCATGAAAAGCACTTGGGATATATTATCAGGATCAAAGTTTCCACCTTCATATTGGTCACATCAAGTTAGATTACCATAAAATTCAGTTTCTTGAGCCTGGACTAACTGAAGTAGAATCTCTAGAGAAAGACTGAGGAGTCCAGATTGTAACAAATATTGCCTAATGTTGCTTATGTGTATATATACTAATGCAATGCTATTTCTCAAAATAGGG